CACACACACACACACACACACACACAAACACACACACACACACACACCCCTTCAAACCTCTTTTTCAAACCACCAAGAAAGTGTTCCTTTTTATATAGCCCCTAAACAAAACCTTCTAAACACCCACCGGCCCCATGGGATTAGGTGCAAAAAGAACAGGCTCATGGCATGAAAGCTGCGCTTTGTTCCGCACTCTTCATTTACAGCTCGGGCGCCATTTGAATTGGGCATGTTCTCGAGCCCGATGTCTCTGATTGTCACCACCCTTATACCCAGTGCACACCGCCAGTCAGTCGAATCTTATTTATCTGATTGAGTCAAATGGAATATATTATGTTATATTATAACGAGTCGTTACCTCAGAATTACAACGTTTTGTCTGTCTGCTCAGTACATGTACCTAATTTTGAGAAATTGGACGTCAACAATTTTGAGTTTCACAATTTTTAGATCTATTTCAAGCTTTTTTAAAAACAGTTCTTTGAATATCTTGATATCGCTAGCTCAGAATTACAACGTTCTGTTGGCTCAGTACATGTACCTAATTTTGAGAAATTTGACGTTAACAATTTTGAGCTTCACAATAATATTTCAACCTTTTTTTAAAGCAATTCTTTGAATATCTTGAAACAACTCCGAAGAATCTTACGGTTTTAATAGAGTAGGTAGAGCATTTGCTTTCTGACCTCATGGTCCTAGTAGCTCAAAATGGCCAAACATTTCAGATAGAAATTTATAATTCTGAGGCAGCGAAAAGTCATATTATGAGTACTCACGCACACACATTACAAGACAGAACATAGATCCTTTACGCATCAACTGCTGAAACAACTCCAGCCCGAAAACATTCTCTCATTAGCCAAAACTTCCTTCCTGGAGAAACAAAAGCTACTATTTGGGCACAATAGGACCGATTTGACTCACGACCTTAAACAAGGAAAAAAACCCACACGTTTGATTTGGAAGGTCACAATCGAATTTAGTCGAATTTAATCGAACTGGGCCAAAATGGCAGATTCAACCCCTTTCCATAAAGGAAAAAAAAAACACCCGGCAGTCCCCGACTGAATCAAATAAATTCTATTGACAGTGTGCACTTTGTATTATTTCAAGCCGACAACGAAGTCGTGTCGTAAATAAAATCTATTATTGTCCCCCCCCCCCCCTGATTAAGAATGGCGTCTTCTTCGCTCGTTAATTTGAGAACGTAAAACGAGCCCCTGTCTTTAACACAACTAACAAAGACACTGAAGTAAATGGCTCCCAGCTAATTAAATCTGTATATATTCAAATCAATTCACATAAGTTTATATTGGCTGTAGTGGGGAGTTATATCGTAGTACATCAGAGGTCTAATCTTGTTATATTACTCTGCGGAAATTAACGTTTGGTTTTTATGCGCGATGACGTATCACAGAATAAGAGAATGTGTTTGAAGATGTCAGTATACATGAATATGAATGCTTGTTTGCTCACAAAGTCACACACACACACATACTCAACATATACACGCGTGCACACACACCCCCACGCGTGCACATGCACACACATAGACGCACACACACATACACACATGCACACACACACA